GAGCACAGGTTTGTGGGGTGAGAGCCTTCCTGCTCTGTCAGGGTACAGAGAGCACAGGTCTGTGGGGTGAGAGCCTTCCTGCTCTGTCAGGGTACAGAGAGCACAGGTTTGTGGGGTGAGAGAGCCTTCCTGCTCTGTCAGGGTACAGAGAGAACACGTTTGTGGGGTGAGACCTCGTGATGGGTTAAGGTGTTTCCTTAAATGCCATCAGTGACTCTTTTGTTGGATGTAGGTGAGGATCAAAGCTGCTATAAAACAGTAGATTTTTACTACCCTCGTGTTTGGGGGCTACTTCACAGCCCCAACTCTGTAAAGTCTCGACACAGTGATGTCTCTCCGCAGCACGCACACGCACATTCCTCCGGCTTCTTCATCACTCAAGATTCTTCGTTCGGAAACCTCATACTTCCGGTGTTGCCACGTCAAGAACCAGAATAACGGAGACCAAGATAAGAAAACTAAATGTTTCAGGAGATTGTGTCCTGTTGCCATCTGTTTGTGTTGTGTAGAAACTGACGTATTAGTGAAGGTGTTTTCTGCCAAGCAGAGAGGATAGTTCAGTGTGTATTCAGGTCACTTGCAGTCTCAGGTTGTCATTTTGATGGCAGTTTTCTCTTAAGATTTAAAAAAAAGGGTTGATTGATTCCCAAACATACTTGTATTGTGTATCAAGGTTCATTTAGTGGTTCAGTACATCTACCACGTTACAGATGGTGTCAAATCATGAGGCAAATAAATGCCCAGAATCCCCCCCCCCCCCCGCCAGGTGCCTGTCTGTAGCTGTGAGACCCTAAACGGCCTTGCTCCTCACATAACCTGAGTGCCTAAAACATCTCTGCTCTGGCCTGGAGATACTGGGTTCAGAGATTTTATTTTCATGCTTTGATGTGGATGTCAATAAAACGATCAAGAAAATGTCAGATTTTTGATTGTGTTGGGAAAGTACAGTATGGCGAGACTACTGGTCACGTCATGCATGTATTTTTCTGTTCTGTAGTTCTTACTAAGCTTGTGCACATTCAAAATGAGCTTTTCCTAGAGACCAATCTAGAGAAAAAATGCCAGTGATTCACATCTGGGTGAGATCGAGCAGTCTTGCAAATGTATCAAAATGGTGAATATGAAATATCAGATATAATGGTGCTGCTCCCATTGTATATGGAAAAAAGCAAAAAAAAGTCATTGTTCAGCCATTATTCCAGAATTTAGAAAAAAATTAAATGTTAGAATATGTTAAAGGGAAAATACAATATCAAAAAAGTCAGTGTGTCAGGTTTTTTCTGACAGTTTTAAATGAGGCTTTTGTGTACTTCGTATTCCATCCATCCCTGCACCAGTCAGCATGTCTTCCAACAGCTTATCCTGGTCATGTTTATGAGGATGCATAAATCAAATATTGTAAAATTTGCTCAAGGAGTTTTATGACAAATGTTTAATTTACCATTGGAAACAAAATTCGGAAGAATTTACATCACAACCAACAATACAGCCTTTACAATCAGTCTATAAACGCTGACCTTGGCTGGAGATCTTAGCACAGAGAAACTGAGCCGTGTGCAGATCTCCAGCGTTAAGCTGCCACGTTTCGGAGGTGCACAGACAGACACTTGGCATTTCATAGGACATGCTGGGGTTCCTTTGTAAGATCACGTAAGATACTACATGGTCTGTTTACAATAGTGTAGATATCAATTGTGAGACTGGGTATATTTGGACTGTAAGCATAGCATTCTGAAAATGTGTCCATTCAATATTATACGTGGTCCCCCCTCCACCCCCCGCCGAAATACATCTGATCTTCAAAAAATTGTCTGTGGCCAGGTTTATCAAATGAACATTTAAGTATTTTGTGACAAGTAGTGTATGTATTGCATGAGGTCAGTTTATTTAGAAAAACAAATCTATAATTAGTACAGAAACAACTATATTATCATTACAAGAGTAATTTCCATAGTACTCAAATTTCCTTCAGTTACCAGACCACTTACGTTAATTTCTGTTATCTAATCACAGAAGAGGCATACTCAGTAACCAAATGTTCACAGGTCAAGATATCAGTTAGGAAGAATCTATCAATACTTAAAAAATGTAGAGCTTCAAATTTGCTGACTATTAGTGAACCTTCAGCACAACATTTGATACTTGTTTTCCACAAATTAAAAGAGTAGTGTGTCATGGGGTTAGTACTAATTGGTAAATTACATCACAAACCTTACCACAGCAATCATAACCTTAGAGTATTAATGTTACTCGCACATCTCAGGAAGCGTGGCCAGGGCGTCCCTATTAAGCTCACATATCGATGAGAAATATGCATAATGAGTGTAATGGTAGGGAATCCTGTCAGGGAACGATGGCTGTAGTCTATCACATTTATGCAAAGATCTGATTAATGTGACACTGTTTCAGGGAAGATGCCAATATGCTCGGTTTTACTATATAAAATTGACCTCTAAATTAGGTCTACAGGTCTTAAAAAAAAAATACCATCAAAGTTCAAATAATTAGTCCATTGATTATTTTAGGTACAATCAGCAAACATCCCTTTTTTTAGCACCAAAAAAATGAGCATCTTGAGCACTTTCACCGAAAGGACCTTTTATGCAAAACCACATTCTTCATCATGTGTCCCCCTGGTCTTGGCCGATCAGACTTTAAGCCGATTTAACGACGTAGCGCTGAACACCGGGCCTTATGAAAATATCATCTCCATTATAAAAACCAGAGACGATTCATGTCTCTTGTGCCAAATATATCCCTTTTGTCTGGTCATGTAACAGATATGAATACGTTCCAAAAATGAAGCCCAACACCCGTGACGATGTTTTTCCTATGAAAACACTGCGTACAGCGTTGAGACGTTCCGTGTGCCGAGAGCAATGAGGCGTCTAAAGGTCTGATTCTCCCTCAAAAAACTATTTACAAAATGGTCATTTAATGCTTGTTAAAAGAAAACCGCTTATTCGCTCCTTTGGGTTCGGTAAGGTTATAGGTTCGAGTCACCTGGGTAGCCAGTGTAGTCCGATCAGCAGGAGGCTATGCTGTCAGATTCAGCCTAACATCCGCGTCAAGCCACGCCACCGGATGGAACTCAGACTGGGTTCACAAGTATAAACACAAAAAAAGATGAAATACTCGCAGTCCGTAATCAGTCCGTGTGTCCGTGTTCTGCGAAAATCCCTTCAGAATGAACGTCCTTCATAGCCAATGTTCCTGGACTCAGTCTGTCTCACTTTTGATGTCTGGTTTCTCCTGTAATAATGGAATAATGGACTCCCAGGCTGCAAGGCACTGCAACGCAGAGGCAGAGACACAGTGAGCGGGACAGTGACGGACAGGTCAGCACCTACTTAAAGCTTGCAGTAGCCAACCTTCTCGTAGTACTGGATGTTTCTGTCGGCCATTCCGGTGAGGAGCTGTCGGAAATCCTGCCTCTTGTTGTTCTGCCAGCGGTCCCAGTCAGCTTTCAGGTCGGCGTTGAAGCACTCCACTCGATCCTGGCACTTCTCCACATCTGCGGGCACCTGCGTGAAAAAGTATCGGTGAACTTTGCAGACGGCACTGGAGGAGCCCAGTGAGACACTTCACCACTTACTGAACACTTAAGAGAGTGAGTATGACACGTACTGTAGTGATACGAAGTGCTGATTCAGTTTTTGGAGCTGGGGTTTAAGAGCATCCTTATTAACGCTTTGTGCCATGTTCCTTTTGTGAATGTTAAAGTGTTACTGCCAGCTGTGTGATTGGCCGGGGCAGCAGCCTCAGTCTGACCGGCCGTGTGATTGGCCGGGGCAGCAGCCTCAGTCTGACCGGCCGTGTGATTGGCCGGGGCAGCAGCCTCAGTCTGACCCAGAAGGATGCCGGCAATCCCCCTGTTCCCCAGTTACAGGCAGCCATTCAAAACTGCAGATACACAGGCTTATTGCTAGTCTCTCATATTCAGCAGACAGCCCAGAAACAGGCCAGACCTCTGGATTCAGAACCAAAATAATCCTGATGAATTTTCCTGCTGAAAGCAAACAAGCTTCTACTCGCCCTGCAGGTACTTTCATTGCTGAATGTTCGCTTCTCTTCCCATGCAGCTCAACTCCTGTGGTATGCATGGTGTATTTAATTACAGGCTCCCTGTCAGATGGGAACTAAGGAGGTCTTGCCATTTGTTATGAATATAAAAAACTGCCTACCCAGATTCAAAAATAAAACGTCTAATCAGCAGCTTGGCGATTTGGTAGTTTCTGCCCCAAAGTTACTCCATAACTCCATGTAAAAAATGGCTTAGAGTCTATCAGTTAGCCTGGCGCTCAGCAGAGGACACTGCACCCAGAAAATACTGCTCTACTGCAAACAAAATCCGGTGCCCAAAAACAAGTGAGATATGAACCACGACATCATCATCCAGGATCCTCTCCCCAGTAGTGGTGACAAGGTGACTCACCCCTGACTTTTCATCCTTCCGCAAAACGACAGCTTCCAATTTTGCCTCATATTCAGCCTGGACCTGATCTCTCTTCTTCAGGACATTCTAAACAGAAAGGAAAAAAAAAAAAAAAAAACAGTTTCACTGATTGTGCCTGGAGATTAATAAGGTACAACCACAGCAGATCACAGTAACATTTCACCAAGTCAGCTCATCTGTGTGTAAACCTCCTACCTTCATGGACTCGATATAGAGAACGTATTCCCTGAGCACTGGGAGGAAGTCCTCGCTCATATCCTCTGTGAGTTCCTCTAGGGCAGAGGAGGAGCTGCTGACACAACTCGATACTCCCTCCAAAGGCTTTTGCAGCTCTCCTTCACAGCCTGCCCAGCTGCTGTACACAGGACTGTACTCACGCAGTTCTACCAGATACTCTGTGGGACAGAGAGACCAGGACATCATCTGACCTGATGGGGTCCAGATCGGCTGGCTACATTTCCCATGTCACACGTCTTTCAGATGTCTTGTGAAAGCTGGCTTGTTGCTCAAAACAGCTCACAGAGATGCTGATAATCTCATATTTACAGAAAAAGGATGGCAGAATTGAGATATCCCCTATCTTTTATTCTCAACACCTGTGTCCTGTCTGTCTTGTCAATGAATGTCTTTACCTTTTTAAAATAATAATTACAAAGGATCACAATGAGCGATTGAATGTTACATTTATATAGCGCTTTTCAGAATAAGCCTGGCACAGGACCCTTGTCCTTGAGTTCTTGGTGTTATTAAAAGCTGAGGAGTTTTCCGCAAACCCTGAAGAAACCTCCAATCGCGACCAGTGCATGAGACATGAGGTGAGGTGGATTTGCAGCAGAGCACCCAGCGCCATGTAGGACAGCTTTACCTGACTCTTCCTTGATGATCCTCTGTGCTATCCTATCGATGGTGCCTAGCTTCTGCGTGAAGATGTCCAGGTAGTCACCCATAGCGGCAAACTCCAGAGGCCGAGCCCTCAGCTTATATCCGCCTGTGACGTACTTCACAGACTCCCCCATTTTTGTCAGCAACGTCAAGCCTTGCTTCTTATAGGAATTCAGGTCCTGAAGTGACATGAAGACATTGATCAGCCGTCATCTGAGGCCCAGGGGGCAGAGCAAGTGCTACCAGATTTCAACTGTATATTTCAACTGAAGCCTTCAGAAAGAATGCTTGGTCAGCCAGTGGCTGTGTGTGTTCGATTTCCCTGTCTTCAAACACACATTAATCTATTCATCCTTGACTTTCAATCACTTTAAGCCGCAGGCAGCACAGGGCACAAAACAGGGAAACAGCAGCTCATCACACACACACCCATCCATATCACATGCAAGCTAGCTGGAGTCAAACAGAGAGTTAATGAAAATCCTGATTACCTTGGCCGTGAGAAAAACATTGAAATTTTCATTGAATGACAGGACCGGGTGGTCTGCTACCCTCTTCAGGAATTTGTCAAGTGCTTTCCGTCTCGTTTCTACAAATTCCTCAGAAAATCTGTCCACGACACCTTTCATCACAAACTTCTCCGGGAGAGGCTGCAAAGGGACAAAGAGATCAGCTGAAAATCGTAACACTTCTCTTAGGCAAAACGCACATAAGGCAAGAGGGGCAGAGCTGGAAGGTCAGGCGAGCAGACAGCCGCTACCTACGGGAATGAGATGCGTTGGCTGGCTCTCCTCTAGTTTGTTTCGAAGCCAATCAAAATCTTGGTATCTGCGCCGTAGTGAGTACTCCGGCAGGTCGAACTCTGTCCTGCTAGTCTGAAAGTATGAGAGCGGAGCTCCACATTACAAGCTCTTTCTAATGCTTTCCATCACGCTGACAAGGAACAGTATTAGCAAACATACATAATCCATGAGCTTTCTGCTGATGTGTATTTGGTCACAAGGGCAACAAGATGGCATCAACCTCTTCTCAGTGACAGACCATCTCTGCTTGACAGCTTTCATACTGCACTGGCTTGGCTAATGTTTTCGGTGTGTACAGTATGTAGAAGCCATGAAAAGGTAGCATAATAGTAGCTTGGAAAACCCTGGAACTTATTCAAGTCAATTTCACCACCAACAGGTGCTACATTAATACTGTATGTACCACCCTGTCACTGTGCCAACTGGGTGCAACTTGGAATCGGTTTAGCAAACTATGCATCAAAAGATGGCCATCTGGTCGTAGTGTCTGGATATAACACACCATCTGACTAAGACCACCCATCGACACCAAAACTGAAGGCACTGGTAGGGTAATCCAATTTGTTTGTCAGCTTTAGTGGAAATAGAAAGCATTTTGAGTGACCAAATTTGAGCATCCTTCTGCATGATAGAGATGGTTAAAAGACTCATATTTCATTTTCATAATGTGAAGAATTATACTAAACCTCTGACCTTGGTGGTGACTCTGTAGGTGATATACGTTTCCATGGTGGACACGTGTTTCTTGGGGTCGTCGACAGAGACAAATAAGTCGTGGGTCTCGCCATCGAGGTCGTCGTCCAGCTGCAGGCGGTTTAAGAGGGAGGACGAAGAACCCGGGCTGGACGTGCCCGCGGGAGTGCCGTTAGGAAGGCTCAAGTCCTGCGAAAAGCCCACAGGGTCAGTCGGATTCCAAAACAGCACTATATCCGTTTCTCCTGAACAGCAGAAAAAAAGTTTTGATGATGTAAATCCAAAATGTTTAACAGATTTAATAAAAATGCTGTAGAGAACTGTACTGGGACACTATGAAAGGCAAAGGAACAGACACCTACACATTTATACGTAAGTATTCATGCCAGGTTCCTTGGGCATTCAGAACAAACTGCTTCTCTCTGCCTTCAAAGCTCCTTACTGTCTATGCCCCCCCCTGTCTGAGCTCGTTCACCCCCCACACCCCAGGCTGTAAACTCATCTCATCCGGACCTAAAACTGTCATTTACTACAATATCTTTATTGTCAGTTGTCTTGGGAATTAATAAGAAATGATTCTTAAAAATAGAAATGCGTAGAACTTGCATCCCATCCCAGGTGAACCTCAGCCTTGTTTTTTATCCTGCCAGGGGTGGCCAGAAGGCCCCTGTGTTCCTGACCAAGATAAGTTTTGGATGGATGGATGGATGGATGGATTGAAATTTATTTTGGAATGTGAAATGTTAGTGTAGCATATTTTTCAAAAGTTAATTCAACTGCAAATTATAAAGATTTAAGCAAGTTTAACGCGCGCACACACACACACAAAAAAATATATATTTTATATATATAAAGCACATGTATGTATATTTAACTTTACCTTCCACAGTTTCATTCATTACACAATAACTCCTACATGGCAGAGGGCAGAGAATTTAAGTGAAACACAACTAAAAGGAACAATTATAACCCTTTTAATTGTACTTTCATTTCATTTTTACTGACGATTTACAAGGGGTGTATTGTTGCAGGAATATCTTATTCATCCAGAGACAACAGGTGAATGTTAGAATTAAAAACTTTATAGCGCAAGAATGAACAAGAAAATGATTTAAAAAAAACAAGACACTTGTTTCAAGAAAAACCACAACATCAAAATACAACATGTTACCCCCTGGTCTAAGAATCATCCGCGACCAATTCAAGATAATAAATATATATCTACGCATTTATTGCACGTGTATCCATTACATCACTAGTGATGCCCCCCTCATTTGCTGTAACAAGTCAACAAAAAGCAACCCTCCCTTAAGCCAAAATAAACTGCAGATTTCTTTCCAGTGAAGAGACACATCATAAAGAACCAAAACAAAAAACTATCAAGTCACGGCGAAATTAATTATACCGCTAAATTACCATACATACGTGAATGAAACAACACAAAAGCTGCGGCTTAAGGTTAGTGTGTTTAGCCTTCAATTAATAAGCATTACAAACCTGGTAGGAATGGATGAATGCCATGCACGCAGGGGCTTGTAGTGAAGTGGTTAGAGGAAATGAGTATTGCTGGAATGTGCGATGCAGGAGACAGCGAAAGCCGAGGCTATGCGGAAGGAACTGGCCCGCAGTTATCCACGCATCATCAAAACACATTGAAAAGTAAGGGGAATTGGCGACGTACTTTGCTAACAAAACAGACGAAGCGCAGGTGCACTGATTAGCTGCACTAACGAATGAGTGACACTCGTCGAAACCATACATCACCGTATCAACCGGTATTTTCATTTACTGCACTGCAAGCTTTCCACGTTGGACGTATATCTTAATCACCAGTACTAAACATGCTTGATCGACAGGGTAATAACGGCATACCTTTTCACCGAGGCTGCTGGTGGTGTTTCCCACATCTGGGCTGGGTGTCAGGACAGACTCTTCGGCAGAAAGGGGGTGGCTGATGTCCTGAATGGATTTCTGTCCCGAAGACGGCAGCGATTTTGGGGTGCCAGCACTCATCGTGCAAGCGGCAGACACAGATCTGATCAAATGCGCTCTTTCGGTCTGTTTTACTGGGTGTTTTGCGAGATGTTTTGCGCGGTGTTTGTGTAACGCCGCACCAAGTCTCGCTGCACAGGCCGGTCATGTGACCCGCAGCGCGCAGCTCCGGAAGCGCAGCGCGGAGGAAGCGGAGTCCACGGCGTGACGGACGTTGGAGCGGAACTCCCGAGAAAAACCACCACAAGTAGCAGGACCTAGCCATCACTTCTCAGGGAAAATGATCAGCCTTCATCCACCAGGGTACTGTGCGATCAGATATCTGGGAAAACCAGAAGTGTGGATTAGCTATCACACGTCCCAAAAAAGAAAACCTATCGATCTACCTGGGTCGTAGTTTCTTGTGTGTTTGGGTTCCCTAGGTATGGATCATACACTTGCATCAATGCATGGCCATAATCAATGCTAAAATGACGAGCAGTTTAATTTCAAGTATTAACTAAAGCGACAACTGTGTTAAATGTTTCCCAAATTAATATAGATCTTTTTAACAAGCCGTTTCATCCCACGCTGTATGTATAATGTTAGTCTTTTTTTTTGCTCTTCATGTTATTCTCCGAAGAGAGGGATAAAAATCCTCCAACCATATGGTGCACTGTATGGAACTTCTTTTTTTTTTCTTTCCGCCACATAACATGCAAGGTGGATGAGACAATGCATTTTTAGGTTAATGTAAGTTCTTGTGAGAGGATCTTTCTCATTATGACATTTTATGACATTAACTAAATCTGTTCCTACAGTATTGCCTGTCTCCCACTGTATCTCATATAGCCCAACTGTTGGGCTTTGATTTGATAAATAACAACACAAATGGTCATTTAGGATCTGACGTTATTATGAACATATATTAATAGCCATCTAAAAGATGATTTACTGTCGGGGTAAATTTAAGGAACTACAATGAATACCAATACCATAAATTTGTGTCCTTAAGATTTATTAAATATTCAGTTGGGTTCAATTTTAAATCTGTGGAAGGCATGTCGGCATGGCAAAATAACACAATCGTCAGAGACAAATAATCATTTTCTATTTGGTGGTGCTATGCGGAGTGAGCTCTACTAAACTCTAATACAGCACATACATTTCTTTGCAGGACAATAACTTGTAAGACTGTTGTTAAATCTATTGTTGAAAAAATAATGCATATAAAGTGCTACACAAAAATAATTTAATAAATTGATTTTCATACAATAGTATTCTCAAACGAACCAATACAACACAAAAGATCTCCCTTACATGACATTCAGTGACACTTATGATAATACATTTTGAGTTGGGTACCCTGTTTTACATTTGCTTACTAATAACAAAATGAATACGGCCCCGGAACTTTTTATACACTGTGCCAAAATTCAATGTTTACACCAATATTTCATTTTTTGAAATTGTATTGGCATATGGATTATGTGTTGGGTGAACAATATTTTGGGACAGAAAGCGCTATTGGGTTCCTCAACGCAGGCGCACATCGTAGTCCGTGGGGAACAATGCATCATGGGAAATAGCTCCTGAGTGGAAACGGACAGAGCCTGACCGCCATTTTAACTGCAGCGGTACAGTCCCGGATCAGGGAACGTAGTTTGTTGGTTTCTATTCGTATTTATACTGACATTAATGTACAAGCGTACATATATTGAAACGGCGAAGTAGGCAGAGGTGGCGACGTTGGTGGAGGAGGCGAAAGGCACTCCCTGAAAAGAGAAGTCGAGTGAAGAAAGGGGGAAGATGGCGGCCGACAGGCGCGACGAGAAGGGTATAAACATCGCTTGGGCGTTGGGTTTTATATGGACCGGGACAAGGACTAGAACTTGGAGCGAACGAGTTACCATGTAATCATAGTCAGGGTTATGTTTAATATAGAAGCGTTAATGTTCTTATGACGGTCGAGTAATCCATTCGCTTAAAGGCTGCACGGTGTGCATTCCTGCTTTCTTAAAAGTGTATTCGGGTATGTGTCCGTACAGTTGGGCGTAACATGGTGAGCCGTGGTATGTGGCCCTCCTAATGTCCGCAATTCACTGAGGTTGGACCCGAACCGTAACCCCCCGCGGTCTTTTTTTCTTGAACGAGAGCAGCGTTCTGATTCTCCATAGAGTGGGGGCGGGGGGCCATCATGCATTGCGGCGGCAGTATGTTGTGACGCTGTGACATTCGGTCACGTGGGACACTCGACCGCTTGTTGGTAAACAGTCCTTCCGGCCTCGTAGTAATTTGGCCATGAAATGCGGTTCTGTAGATAACTACTTTCTGAATTGCAACCGTAAACCTACCTGCCCCTCGTAAGCATTTTTTTCTGCTACGTTTATTTTTTTTAAGGAGGTACACAACCCCAATTGACCTGTATTATGATAATTGTCTTTTTCTCTAGTTTGAATGCGCATTCACCCTACCCCCCCACAGGTTGCCACAGTATAAGAGGAAAGTAGGGCATTAGACAGCGACCAATCTCGAGTTTACTGATCGCTCACAAGAATGAATTATTAAATTATGTAGTTGATCCATCCGTAATTCTGGTGCAGCAGAATTTTAAGGGAGTGCATCGCCATGTGTTTCTGGACGTGCTACTTTTGTGTCAGTTCTTTATTTCAAATGTAATCAATGATTTAGATGGAGAGCTTAACGTCCTGGATGACATCCTGACAGAAGCACCAGACCAGGATGATGAACTCTATAACCCTGAGAGCGAGCATGGTGTCAGCGAAATGAAAGGTATTGCTATTTAATTCTTATAAGGGGAATATTAAGAGGAGAGCAAATGACTTCTGTTCACAACAATCAGAACATTGGTTGTGTGTTCAAAATTCAGATGTATTTCATTGGTTATCTTAATGAGTTTCTTGCTCCTGCCTTGCATTCTGTGGTGCCTTTTTTCCTTAAGTTTTCTGGCTATAAATATTTTTCCTGGTCTATGACAAGGAATGTACCCCCCCCCCCCCCCCACTTAACGAAGTGAGCGCTTCAACTGTTTGACTTACCCAAGAGAGCTCAACCTGTGTTTAGTGCTGAGAGCAGAGGGTTTGATCTCCATTTTTCTTGTGAAATCCTCCACAGGTTCCAAGAGGAAGAACGATAGAGGAGAATGCCTGGAAAGCAAGAGGCCGCGGTCTTCAGGGCATGCAGTACGACAGACGATGAGGAGGCCCATGCCCCCGGTGGGGGCTAACAGTAAAAAGCTGGTCAGCCTCAGAAACAGACATGCCACAGACTACAAGGGTGTTGACTACCACTATGACAGAAAAGGCCAGACTGGAAGAGGGGGCATCTCCAGGGATGATCCCTCCAAAGTACAGAGCGACAAGACCCTGAACCACAGAAAGGATCTGGATCGGCGGCTGAAGCCCTTGATGCCTGAAATCTCTGAGGTAGGAGACCTAAGAATTGGCACATTTGTCTGTCATGCTTTCTCTCACCCCTTGTGCTCCTACATTAGAAGAAATTTGGTAATTTGCCTTATATGGTCCTCACTTCAGTTTTTGCTATCTGTCCATTACTGTCACAGCTCTTTGGAACTTAAACCTTCATTAAAACCATTTAGCATTGGATACGTAGACCTTACTTTTGATCTGTTATTTTCTTTAAGCTGCGGCACGCCAGTGAGGAGAGTATTAGCAGAGTGAGCCACTCATCCAAGGAAGAAGCAAACTCAGAGTTTGCCTCTGACCAAGAAACTGGCAGTTCTGTTGAGTCCTCTGAAGATAACCGCTCTGATGAGGAAGAAGTGGTTATGGAAGATGAGGACGAGGAGAGAGAAAAGGGTGCTGGTGAGGAGGAGGAAGAGGAGGAGGAAGAGGAGGAGGAGGAAGATGGAGAGGAGGAGGAGGAGGAATATGAACTAGAGGAAGGAGACCAGCGAGAGGGAAATGAGCAGAATGACTATGACACTCGCAGTGAGGCCAGTGACTCCCGCTCTGACTCTGTGTCCTTCTCTGATGGCGAGTCTGTGCATTCAGCTACTGGCTCTGATACTTCAGGTAGGATTTGCATGTTTTATTTAATTTATTTTTGCTTAAAGTTTTGTGTGAGCTTCTAATGGGGAGACAGTAGAATTTGCTTGGATTTAGAGTTTTGTGCATCACGCATTGTTTAGTTGTTGTGGGTCCTTATAGCTTTGTGTCTGTTACTGAGTTTACATGTGCACTGCAGAGTTCATGGACATATTTGTGCTTAATATGTTCCTTTTAAAGCTGATTTTTTCAGGTTTAATTTTAGTAATGTAGTTCAAAGATGGAGTTGTTTCTCCTAGTGAAATGCGATCAGATGACCGTGCAGAATGTCTGCCTCAGTTAAGTTTCTTTAACAAAGTAGAATAGAAATTCATAATCCAGCTGAAGCAGTTGGCAATGAATGCAACAATATGGTGCAAAACCCCAAGACATTCTCTGGATGCCTGCTTTCTGAATAACAGAAGTTCAGTGGAATGTGTGGCCTCACTGTAACTGTAAACACTGGGTAGATCTCTGGAAGAATATGTAGGAAAGCAGGGTTTTTGCCGATTGTCGATGATTTGCAGATTTGAAATGAAAAGTAACACAGGGAACATGTTTTCCAATCCTCTGTTTGTCTTCTTGACAAAGAGCGGAAGAAGACGCATGCTAGAGGGATATCGCCCATCGTTTTTGATAGAAGTGGCAGCTCAGCTTCAGAGTCGTGTGCAGGTATTGGAGACCAAACTGCTTTAAGCTAATAGTGTGTTTTATTGCTTATTTTTTTACAAACCTGTTCCTGGAAAATAGTACTTTTCTTACATTGCTTGGCAGTTGACGGCTAACATGTCTTTGTCATTGCTGATGACCTCTGTTGGTGTGGGGAGGAACACACTGGGAAGGTGTATTCAGCTAGCTACTGGATACCTGTTGCTTGAAATATTAAGCTTGGTTTCCATTGAGAAACTTGCTGTACATTTTGTATTTTCTAATATTTGATACGTTAATGTGGAGGCCAGCTTATTGTCCCTATGATGATTGTCCCAAAGCATGTTTAAAAGATGTAAGATAAAATTACATGAATACTGAGAAAGTGGGAAGAGTTCACTAATAAAACATGATTGACTGGGGCATTAAGGATGTGATTCTGCCTACAGCAGGCGCCTTAAAAACAGGGTGACAGGCTGAATTATCTTGTGGTCAGTGGCAAAGCAGATAATCTTTCTACCTTTAAGACATTGTAATTGGTCTCATAATCCCACAATGCACTGTTCTTTTAAAAAAATCTCTGCTTTGAACAATATGTAATTAAAATCATAGAATATAATTTGTGACCCCCTGTTGGCAGGCTTTATTGGTTGTCTGAATGAAAGCAGCATATTTGCTTGGTAGCCCCCTCCCATGCTTCGTGGACCTATGACATGGTATTGCGTCGCTTTAGGTTCTGAGAAGAAACTGGAGAAGCTGCCGTCCTCCGTCCGAGCGGTTCGCAAAGGTGAGGGTGAGCAGTGAGACGCAGGACAAAAAAGTGGCGACACGACTCTTGTCTGCTTTCACTAACTGCTTATCCTCAGCCCTTAAAATGATCTCCTGGCCTTCTGTGACCTTCTTTGTTTAAAGAATAAAAATGTTTGTTTTGTAGATCAGACAAGCAAGCTGAA